GACGTCCGAATTCATCCTGTCGAAGCCCTTCTGGAACGTGGCCAACACCCTGGTCCTGCCGGTGCTCTCCGACGACAACGGCGACGGCATCCCCAAGCTGCGCTCCCTCGTCTCGCTCTCCCTGCCCATCACCATCTTCCTAGACTCTATCCTCGGGGAACCGCCCTCGCCTGCGTCCTCGTCCGCGCCCTTAGGGAGGAGGTAAGGAAGGAGGGGCTGAAGGAGGGCGCTTGGTTGAGGACGCGCAAGGTAAGGGAAAGGAGGAGGGGGATGGAGGAAAGGAAGGGTGTTGGGAGAGAAGTAGGAGGATAAAGTTTAGGAGGCAGAGGAGAGGGTCGATGAAGAAGAGGAGAAAATGGTAAAAAAAGGTTATGAAGAAAATTGGAAAGGTAGGGATTACAGAATCTAAAAATAGGACTATGAGCTCAGCAGAAAAGGAACAGAGGTAAAGACTGCCAATCAGAAGGTAAGCAAAAGGTATACCTAACAAGAAAAGAAACTGATGCTTGGAATTCACTCTCCGGTCATGCAGCCTTTATTCATGTGCGATTTTCTCAAAGAAATCATATTTATAGATCCTTCATTTTTTCTGATGTAACCTTCGTGTGCCTATCTGTCAGTCTGTCTGTCTCTGTGTCTCTCTCTCCCTTCGTCCCTCCCTCCTTCCCTCCCCTCCTTTCTCACACTCTCTCTTCATCTCTCCAACCTTTCCACATCCCTTCAATCCTCTCTCTCTTTCTCCCTCCATCCCCTTCTCTCTCACTCACTCTCCCTCCTTCCCCCCGTTCCTATCCCCTCAACTCTCTGTCTCTCTTCCTCTCTCCCTCCCATCCCACCTTCTCATCCTCTCTCCTTTTCTCCCTCCCTCCCTTCCCAACCCCTCAACCCTCCCTCTTCCCCCTCTCTCTCCCTCCCACCCTTCCCATCCCCTCAACTCTTTCTCTTCTTCCATCCCTCCCCTCTTCCTAACCCTTCAACCCTCTCTCTCTCTCCCCTCCCTCCCCTTCTCCCTTCCACTCTCTGTCTCTTTTCCTCTCTCCCTCCCTCCCTCCCTTCCACCCCCCCTCAACCCTCTCTCCCTCCCTCCCTCCCTCAGCGGCGGGTCTCGAAGCCTCGGCGAAGACCAGCTCAACATCTTCCACTCCATCGAGGACTCCCTGGCCAGCCTGGGAGTGGACGGGCGCTCGTGTCTCCTGCGGCTCATCTGCGAGCTGCAAGGGAACGCCATCGGGAGGTACACCGTGGTCGGGGAACTGCTCACCCCTGCTTTCACGTGGGTTCGAGTTCGGCGCCGCTTCTGTGGCGCTTTGTTTGTTTGGTTGTTGATTTTTTTGTTTGTTCGTTATTATTTCATTATTTGTTATGATCATCACTATTATTTCATTGTTAATATCATTACTATTATTATTATGATTATGATTATCATTATTATTATATTATTATTTATTATTTATTATTATTATTATTATTATCATTATTATTATTATTATTATTATTATATCATTAATTATTATTATTACAATTTTTTGCATTACTGCATTCTTCCTATTCTTGATTTTTTATGTTCATCGCTGTTATTATTATGTCATTATTATGATTGATGTAACGTTTGTTTATTGTATATCATATTATTATTATTATCATTATTATCATGCAACGCTCCCCCCCTCCCCCCCTTCCCCACACAGACCGAAGCGTGGAATGAACGACTTCCTGCACGACTACATCGAGGCCGAGGACGCCGGGAGGGACGGCGGCGACTGCGCGGCCAGATACCAGTCCTGTCCCTTCTCTCTGACGGGGACGCTCGAGAGGTATCGCCGGTATATGGAGGTAAGGAGAGGGGGAGGGGGAGAGGGGAAGGGAAGGGGGTAGAGGGGGAGGAGGGGTAGGGGAGAGGGAGAGGGGTTGAGGGAGAGGGGAAGGGTGAGGGGAAGGGGTAAGGTAAGGAAAAGGGTGAGTGGGGGAATGGGGGGGGGGTGAGGAAGAGGAGGGGAAGGGGATAAGGGGAAATGTGAGGGTGAAAGGAGAAGGAAAGAGAGAGAGGTGGAAAGAGAGGCGGAAAGTGGGATGAGACTAAAAGGGGAGAAGAAGGGAGAGAGGATGAGTGAGGAGAAGGAGAGGGAGGGTGGGATTGAGGACGGGAGGAAGGAGGTGAAGGGAGAATGAGATGGAAGGAGAGGGTGAGGGCGAGAGGAGAGAGGTGAGGAGGGGAGAAGGGAGGGGGGAGTAGAAAGGGTGGGTGGATGGGTTTAGGGGTGAGGGAAGGAGACAAAAAAGGGTGAGGAAAAAGGAGAGAAAAAGGGAAATAGAGGTAAGGAAAGGGTGTGAAAAGAGTAGATGAAAAGAGAGAAAAAGGGAGACAGAGATGAAAAGGGAGAAAAAAGGAGACAAAGAAGGTGAGGAAAAGGGAGATAAAAAGGGAGAGGGTGTAACTACGATTGAATAGAAATATTTTATGTTTTACTTCATCTTATTCTTACACATATGTGGAATTCGCTGTCTTTGGCATAATTTCCCGAAAGATGAAATAATGGAATTCAGTGTGTTTGAGTGCATGTTTGCACATGTATGTGTGTGTGTGTGTGTATGTGTGTGTGTTGTGTGTGTGTGTGTGTGTGCTTTGTGCGTGTGTATGTATATATAATATACATACACATATGTACATATCAGTGTGTTTTTGTATATATGCAAATGTACTTATTTATCAATTAATCTACGTATCAACTAGTTTATTCCTATATAGCTTCCTAACGACTGAAACCCGACTCACTTCCCCAGAGCGTGTCCTCGATCGAAGACAAGCCAGCGGACGACTCCCGCCCCTTCGCGAACACCATCGGGAACGACCACTTTGCTCTCCCGAAGGTCGTCGTCAACTAGCCAAGTGGAGTCGTGGAATCGTTGTCGTTGAGGAAACAAGTGAACGTCGTGGCGCTGATGGATTCTGGGTTTTTGTTTTATTTGTGTTATATATATATGTTTTTGGCGAGGGGAAGGGGGGGGGGGCACTGTTTACATCACGTGGTCATGATGCAAACGCAAAAGTAGAGACAAATGATGACAACACGAATACAAACATACGTATATCTATCTCTTTATCTCTCACTGTCTATCTCTCTGCAAGTAAGACACATAAGAATCCACTTCCACACGAATTATGAACCGCAGACACCACAATCCACATACTGGGACAGACGGCAACACAATAACCTTTTTCCCACACTCATCCTGGGGGAACACACACAATACATTCCCGGGGTGAGCTACCGTTAATACTATCGGCCAGTTTGTTTAAGCTGTGCAAGGGCCGACCAGGTGAATATTTATTATAGGAACGTGAATATCTGTCAGTCTAGACATGCTGTCAGTCTAGATATATCTGTCAGAGACATGCAGATATATCATTTAGACATGTCAGTCTAGACATGTAATATCTGTCAGCCTAAATATGTATATCTGTCAGTCTAGACATGCAGATATATCACTTTAGACATCTATATCTATCAACATACCTACCGGAAAGATAGATAAATGTAAACAAATATGCATTTATTTCTATGTATGTCCGCATGTATGGACATTCACCGGGTCGGACCTCGCCCACTTCAACAGACTCGCCGCATATCTTCACAAGAACATACCCTGAGGGAGGGGAGCAGAGTGGAGGACGAGAGTGCAACTGAACAGATATTTTGTTACTATCTGTTGCTCAAGATTTGTATTTTCATGCTATGCCTGTGTATAGCAAGTGTCGTTTAGTTTAATGTTTAGTGTTAGTGTATGGGGAGCACGAGCTGTTTTCATGGAATAAAAGTCTTTTTATTGAAACTGACTTTTCTATGGCGTTTCCTTTTGTATTGGCAAAGGTAAATGATATTGTTACAGCAATGATTAATAACAGTAATCTACATTATGGAGCAGTGTTGTCCAAACACGCCTAATGTACCCTTTATTACCTTCTTGTACTGTTACGTACCCCCCCTACCCCCCCCCCCGTCCACCATATCTAAACAAACCGTTTTAATTTGGATAATGCAAATAATATACTAATTATAAAAAGACCGCATTGCAAGAGTGTTGATCAATACATTCGAATTCAATACAGGAATAAAAAAGATGATTCATAGAAGATGTGATGTCTCTGTTTGTGTGTGTGTGTGCGTTCGTGAGTGTGTGTGTGTGTGTGTGTGTGTGTGTGTGTGTGTGTGTGTGTGTGTGTGTGTGTGTGTGTGTGTGTGTCCTTGTTCGTTCACGTATCCTTATGATCTATGTTGCGTACCCGGTTTGGACAACACTGTTATAGTGTATACACATAAACTCAAATACACACACACCCACACACACATTATATATATAAGTACACACACACATATGCAGACCATCTATGAACAATGATGATAGAACAACGAAATAATTTTGAAAATAAGAAAAAGCAGTGTTTTCTATTGAGCGATCTCTATTCCTCTACCGCCTGTCCTTTCCGTGTCATTTCAGTATTTCCTCTCTGTCATTTCCTGTTTTCATCTTTATCTTCTCCAGTTCTTAATAACTGACGTTTTTATTCTTCCGGCTAATAATATCAACATTTACGTTTGTCTGATCTATCAACTTCTTTTGATTATATCTTATCATCCACTTATTTTTTTCAAGATTATTAATGATTCCAGCAAGGTCATCTTACCTCAGTCCATCTATCTCAAAGACCAACTCTCGGACCCAAAATGACACCATTATCCACTTCCCGTTCTCTACAGACCCAACAGCTCTTCACTTTTGCTGAACTCCATTAGTATGGCCTTCCCGTCTCCCCCTTACTCTCTATTGAAGTCAGGGCCGGATTTAGACCTTGGGGAGCTCGGGGTACTTCTGGGAGCCCTCAACATAAAGATTACATTACATACATTACATGCAAATGAGTAACTGAATGATGTGAATGATAAACTGCATTTCCGGGAAGAGAATGGGTTGGCTGTCGACGAAGACTCCAACTTTTGTTTTTCTCAAATTTATTGACGGTAAGAATGACTTTGATTACAATTTTCGGATCCCTCATTAAGATTATATTACATACATTACATGCAAATGAGTGACTGGATGATGTGAATGATAAACTGCATTTCCGGGAAGAGAATGGGTTGGATGTCGGCGAAAACTCCAACTTTTGTTTTTCTCAAATTTATTGACGGTAAGAATGACTTTGATTACATTTTTCGGAGCCGTCAACATAAAGATTACATTACATAATTTACATGCAAATAAGTAACTGAACGATGTGAATGAAAACTGCATTTCCGGGAAGAGAATGGGTTGGATGTCAACGAAAACTCCCGATTTTGTTTTTCTCAAATTTATTGACGGTAAGAATGACTTTGATTACTATTTTCAGTTTGTAATATGTCTGCCTGAGTGACGTGTTAGTTGCAATATTTGCTGAGGTGTTAAAAATGCGTTACTCTACTAATATTTTTTGCATTATTATTTTATCGTAGATCCATTTGTGATGCTGATTTATCGATTAACACTGTTTACTAATTTTTCTCAGTATTTCAGCGTTATCGATTTATTAAGTTATTGAAAGAGCGGAGCACTTGAAATGGGGTCGCCCTGCCTTTCTATTTCCTGTTGCCCCTCACATATTTTGATTATTTTTTATAATAAAAGCAGTTCTATAACCATTACATCAGTTTTTTTTTCATAAAGGAAGTTCATAGCCTGTGTCAATTGCACCTTATGCCTTCTACAACTCAGGCTCTCATTGCAGTTCCTCTTCTGGCTTTTGTAAGTAGGCCAACAGCATAGAGAATTCACCTACTCCTTCTCAGGTCATTCCTGGTTGACATCCATGAGGCGTACGGAGAGGAATGGAGAGTGCAGACTTCTGGCGCACGCTCCTCGTCTCTTCCAGTCCATACGTAATTATGAAGGGTCCATGAATTTCATTCGTTTAGCATATGAGCTTCTCTGATAGACTATACTTAAAGAAAATAAATGTATGCTTTTCTTACTTGGATTTTGACGGCTTTTCAAGATACTTAATAGAAATGAATTTATGTTTTTCTTACTGGAATTTTGACGGCATCTCAAAGCTCTTTGTGATTTATTATTATTATTATTATTATTATTATTATTATTATTATTATTATACATTTTTTATATATAATGGAGAATATCTACAGTTCCTTGACCCTTTAATGTAGTGTTTCCAGCAGACCCACACGCCCCTCTCCACTTTTTATATTCATGTGAAATTATTTTTCTATTTACATAGTAGCACTGTTTAGGGAAACCGGTTTTACTTTGATTAAAACGAATGAAATTAATACTACTTGCGAGAGGTATTTACCAAAGTTATTAAACATTTGGTTTAAAGGGAGAAAAAAATGTATACAAATAAATGTTTTGAAAATATGGTATATAATATTTGGATATAACCATGAGACTGAATGAACATATTGCAAATCTAGTGTACCACTGACCCCATGATATGCAGTTTCACAAACAATACAAAAATATAAAGACATGGTATGTACATTTCGAATTCTCAAAGTAATGAAATGTAAGGACACCCTCAAGTAAAGCAATCAAACCAGAACATCCACAGTTCCACAAACTACCTAATTATCAAACACGAAGGCATTGCCCTTAAATATATTAATGAATTCTCATAATAATGAAATGGAGACACTTTTTGAGCAGACGACTTCGCGCCCCCCTTATATCACCCCTCAACGCCCTCTGGGAACCACTGCTTTAGAGTTATCATTACCATTATTCTTGATCTGCTATACATTACTCTCAAAATTCGTTAAATATCTTATTATTCTTCTCTGTGCTGACGACACTACAATCAAACATATATTTTTGGTCGTAAAACTTTATATCAATCGGTACTGCTGTCTTTGCGTTACCTTTCCTTTCCATTTTAATGTGACGATTTTTGGTCTATCCTTAGTACTCTACGTGTTTTCTACTTTCCTTTGGCTCCACCATTTTTAAAAATCTTTTCCTCATATCTCTATATCACCATTGAAGTATTTAACTACATTTATAAAGCCTAAACCCTTGGAATATTGCTACGACAACTTTTTCAGTGTTGGCTAGTAGTATACTTATGTTAATATATACATTTCACATCGTTCTTTTGCTATGCTTTGGTTGTCTCACTGATACTTTTCATTTAATTTTTCATCTTGTTCATATTTCTATTTTCCTCTCTTCATACAGTGTATTCTCTCCCTGTAAAGAATTTCTAAAAATATTTTCTATTCACTTCTCTATCGCAAATCTAATTCAGCGCAGCTTTCTAAATTAGGCCTCACATCTCCAAATGAAACGATACGAAACCAAAGAAAATGATCACGGATATACCTTGCAACCAAACCAGCAATATCATAAAACCAGAAGACAAAAAAAACTAATGATATTATTGAGAGAAAGAAGCTTACCTGAACCAGGACACTTCTCTCACCTGCCGCCTTTGGGAGTCCAGGGGCGTCCGGGTCAGTCCGTTTCCTCCGTTTTCTTTAAAACATTCGCCCGTTTTCTTTTAGAATCTGCGCTGTTGACAATGGCGTTTGGCGCGTGTCTGCGCTGCAAATGGGCCAAAGCTGGGTTGTTTGGGACAGACACCGAGGTTCAGATGTGTTCTGAATTCAGTTTTTTGTTACTTGCGTACGTATCACTTGTCTTACAGCTTTTTAGGTTCTTACTTGCTTACAAATATATCATAATCAAGTTTATATATATATATATATATATATATATATATATATATATATATATATATATATATATATATATGTATGTATAATATATGGGTCAGTCAGTAAAATCTGAGGAAAATTAACATTCATGTTAATTTTTTCAATCTGTGCTTTAAACTTGATATATATATATATATATATATATATATATATATATATATATATATATATATATATATATGTATGTATATATACATACATATGTGTGTGTGTGTGTGACAATCAGATATGATAAATAAAGTACATTTTACACATTGCATGTAAAGTTACATGTGTGTGAATATTTCTGGGGTTCAGAGCTATATGAATGTTCACACACACACACACACATTCATGTATATATATGTATACATGCATGTATACACATATGTACGTAAATATATGTATATATGCATGTGTGTGTATATGTGTGTGTTTCTATATATATATATATATATATATATATATATATATATATATATATATATATATATATTATGTATATACATATATATACACATACATGTATGTATGTATATGCACAAAACATACATTATACATATATACGAATATATATATATATATATATATATATATATATATATATATATATATATATATATATACACACACACACACACACACACACACACACACACACACACACACACACACACACACACACACACACACATATATATATACATATATATATATATATATATATATATATATATATATATATATATATATATATATATTATATATTATATGTGTGTACACATGTGTATACACATATATATATATATGAATGTATGTATGTAGTTTGTTTAAATTCTTAAACTTATGAAGATACGATTTCAGATATTGGTTTGTGAGATATAAAGTTTCAGAAGAGTTAGTTTTGTTGTATTTACTGAAATATGTTTTAATCGTACGAATCAGTAATCGGAAAAATATTTCCAAACCCCTCTTACTTACGTCGTTAGTTTTCCCGCAACGCATTTCCTAAAGAAAAAAAGATTTTTGCATTTTCATATCTTTGGAAATGTGCAAATGATGAATGGTCACTGTTCATATCTCTTTGGAAATGTGCAAATGAATCGCCACTTGTTCTTTCCACGAAGGGATAATGACAATACGAATCTCTGATAAATCTCAAGTCATACCGCTATTACGCAACTGATTCACTGTCCGAAGGTTATATAACTCAGCCCAGAGTGTAAACCTTACCGCGGTCGTTTCCGGTTTCTTGGAATGCAAGATAAGTGCATTAAGTCATGCAATTACATCGCCTTGTTTTTTTTTTGCATACGGACATGGGTCTCATAGAGATTGGCAATAAAAAAAAAAAAGTTTTCTTCAGAAGCTGTTACTCTGTAAGGAAGGTCATGGTTGTGCGCCTATGCTCTAGGTACATGACAAAGCACAATCGACTAATAGAGTCCTTTTGGGGAGCAGATGTGTAAACCCACCATGAGTTCTCTCCGTAAACAGAAATGAAAACAGACGATGAAGCAGAAATTCATTCTGATACATGAAATGAACGCTCATGGTACTGTCGACGATTTCATGAGAGAGAGAGCTTAATATTTTCTATTCCTCGCAGGATAGTGTTGATAACGTGGCCTGGATCTCACAGTGAGAGCAGTCGGTGACGTCACTCTTGGAGGCGTGAGGAGGCGGAGACTTTTTCATGACGTCACGCGAGAAGTGGGCGGGGCGGAGAGTGGGCGGAGCAAGTCGTGGCGCGAAGTGTGATCTTGTGTCGAGACTCAGTCAAGCTTTAGACAGCTTGTAGTTAAGAAACACGACCCAGCAGCGCAAGAAGGTGCTGCAGCCGACTTTTTGTGTATCGCGACGTTCCCACAACCCGTAAATTCACAACCTCCAGCAACACCCCCCTCCTCCACCTGTATCCCATCACCTCCACCATAAAAACAAACAAGAAAAATCAGTGGAACGCCAACCCATCCAACAACCCCCAAAGCCTCCCCCCCCCTCCCCAAAAGCCCCAGCAAAGCAAAATGGTCCTCGTGATTCCCTCGGACCCTATCATATCCCGGCCTTCCTGGGGGGCGACCTTCAAGTTCAGCGCTCCCATGGCCGAACCCGCGACCCCAGGGGGCTCCTCGGTCGCCGTCTGGGGCGTCGTGATCCCCATCATGTTCTTCTTCGATTCCCTCTTCAGCGCCAGGGAGGGGGAGGCGGACGGCGCCTTCAGGTGAGACGGGGTGGGCTGGGGGAGCCTGCCAATGTTATTTTTATCATATCATTATATCATTATCATCATCATCACCATATATTCATCATCATATCACCAACATATCATCATCATTATCCTCCTCCTCCTCGTCGTCATCATACTGTTATTATTTTGTTTGTTGTTATTATTATTATTATTATTATTATTATTATTCTATTGTTATTGCAGTTATAGTTATTATCATTTTTTTAGAACTGATACTAGTCTTATTTGTTATCACTACTAAATCTTCTATAAGTATCATTATTATTACCATTATGATAATCGTAATAATTACTTATGCTCTACTACTGTCGTATATAATTATTATCACCATCATCATTACTATAAATTACCTTTATTTCACTGTCTTGATATTGTCGTTCTGTTTTGGAGTGCATGTCTGCCATATTGATAAATATGTTTTAACTGTCAACAAAATTAATCCAGAAAAAATAGGCATAAGGAAAGTGACACTGAGTATAATTATTCTTTTGATTATTACAAGAAGAAATTGAGGGCAACAGTAACATAATTCATCATGTAGCAACAACAATAACAATGATCATAATAATAACGATGATAACAATAATGATAATGATAATAATGTGATGATGATAGGTTAGAGCATCTTATACTGATAGCTACGATAGTAATGTCAGAGGCGATACTAATATCCACGATAATGATGAAAATAAAAGAAATGAAAAATACTATATACCGATTCTCCAAACTAATAAACCAAACACCGCCTTTCCCAACCGCAGTTTAAACAGTCTTCTGCGAGAATGGTCGTTGAGCGATGAGGACTATGACGAATTTCTTTGAGGGGAGCGTCGATGAGGACTATGACGACTATTTCGACGACGACTCGTGGCGTGGAGGACCAGCAGGCGTGGGCGCTGTCGTGGGTGGAGGAGTTGCTGTCGTGGCAGGGGCTGGACGGCCATGCGTGCGTCCAGAGGTTCATCTGCGAACTCCAGCACAGGACGATTGACCAGTACAGCGTCCTGGGCGAGACCATGTCCCTCCTCTTCCGGTTTGTGTGTTTTTTTTCTTTTTCTTTCTTTTTATCTGTTTGTTCTGTTGTTATCCTTTATATGTTTTTTTCTCTATTCCTTTTTTTTTTTTTTTTCTTCTGTCTTTCTTTATTTTCCTCTCTCTCTTCTCTTCACCTCCTCCCTCCTTATCTTTTTTTCTCTCTCCCTCTCCCTCTCTCCTTCTTTCTCCTCCTACCAAACTGCAATTTATCTGCTTTATCTTATTGGAAAGAACTAGAATAGGCGAGAGATCAATAAAAAAAAACTGAGTCTTGGAGATAGGATGGAGATTAGAATAAGGAAGAAAGGAAGAAAAGAAAAAACAAGAACGAGTGATGCATATATATATATATATATATATATATATATATATATATATATATATATATATATATATATATTATATATATATATATATTCATTTATTTAATCAGTTATATATACACACACATATGTATATATATTTATGTATTACATACCAGTTTTAACTATATCGTATCTCATCACAATTATCAACTTATCAATTTTGATACCAATATCCACGATTTCTTTATTTTTCAGAATGACCAACGTCTCGTCAACTAACAGCGTAATAGCACCTTATTTAGAAGCCAGAGAAAAGGGTCAGAGTGTCAAGAACTGGACGGAGTGCGGTCCCCTGTTTCCCGCCTGCCCCACTTCGCCATTTAAACTTTTTGGCGGGAAATTGAACAGGACCGTGACTGAATAACGGACGTATTTTGAATTGGGCTCTTTATATTTATTGATTCTACGCTCGGGGTGATATTCTTTATTTATTTCCTAATTTATTAAATCATGTTGGATATTCCATGCTCTGTTTCGTTTATATGACTGTGTTAAGTACATTGTATCGTATGCTCCCAATAAAAAAAATGTTGATGTATTTTTGTTCTACTTTTCCCTGTATAAAATGTGTTAGTCACGTATCTAGAGAAAGCCAAATATGTAATCAGACAACTTTTACACAGAAACGTCCTTTCGTGTCGGTATACATTTTATGCAGAAGCAATGAAATTTGTCGCTGACGCTAGTGAAGGTACTCGATGCAGACTTTAACCTACAGCAGTCACCTAATGTTTTGTTCATTTTAATGATGCATTCAAAAAGACGCTTTTTCTCTTCATGATCAAAGAACAGAGAAACGCGGCAACAAACCCATGTTTAACTTAGTAACGCTCTCTCTCTCCAACTGGTCGGCTTTTAGTTGAATACAAATCCTAACCTAAGGATTGCAGTGCCTTATTCTGTAATTGCGAAGACCGCCATGAATAACTCCCGGGAAGAGGGCATGTCTGCCGTACTAATGGGTGCTTTGCCGTGTCTCGTAAGATGGAATTACGCATCGGGCGCTTGTGCGGGGGAATGCCAAGGGAATAAAGTGTGTTGCTAGATGTCATGCGCTGTGTTACTTGGGAGGCGACTGCTGCTTTTTAAGGCCTGGTAAAATCA